CCCTTAAAATACCATATTTTAAAAAACCTATTTGAAGCTATTTTTAAAAAATATTTGGTAGTTTGATGCATGTACCCATACTTCTCAGTACACACTATGTATATTTTCTTCATTTCTATTAAGTCTTCATTATTTGCAATGTGGTTATTTTTACAAGGAATGCATTCTGCATTGTGAGGGAGCTTAGTGCTTAGTAATGAGCCAATATGGACTTTTTACCATTTCTCTGCAAAACACAGAAAACTCCCTTAGACATTTTTCACAAACCTTATATGATAAAATTATTTGATGGCTAAAGACTGAGCCATGTTAATCACAGGATACATACAAAATATATCAATAAAATACAAGGTGATTTCTTGGTAAAATAAACCCAGAACTAAGCATCCAAACAAGTACTCTTCCCTACAAATAGTCACTTTGGGAAGCTTATGATGAAAACATTTCTTGCACTCTTCTTTTGAGGAAACTCAGTACTTTATACCTTCGTATGTACACACATACATGCATACACACACACACACACATGCATACACAGTTCCCAGCGAGCCACCACATTTATCAGAAACAATCCATATTTTCACTAAGATTTTTCATCAAATAAGTTTGGTATGAATTCACTAACAAGCAAGGAAATAAAGACAAACACATACATTTGCTTAAAACAAATGGATTATTTTCCTTCTCAAGGTCCTTTCTCCCTTGGGGATTCAATGCTATACTTCATAACTTCATACCTTCAGAATTCTTTCATTGTATTCTTCCCTGAATACTGAGTTAACTTTTAATTAGAAAACTTCTGCAATCACTGGAAACAGATCCACAAATCAATTTGTCATACATGTTCAGTTAAAGGAAAATAAAAATACAAAAACATCTGTATGTCTCACCTCCCATCAAACCTGTGCTTCAGGAAATCAAAGAGGGCTTTCTGCATCATGTCTGTTACCTTGGCAGAGGTGAGAAAAAAAGAATGAGGCAAACACACGCAGAGACAAGAGCACAGAGACAGAGCGTGAGAGGTCAAAGGTGAGAGAGGTGGGAGGGAAGGGCACTTTGTCTGAGCAAAGACCTCACACAGTCTGTTGTCTCCAAGGGGTGGGGTAGGTTACCATGGGGGGCATGTTTCACGCTTAACCACTTACAGTTACTCCAATTCCCCCTTGGTTGTCCTCTAGGGTGTTGAGGAATGAACCAGCAGTGTTCACTAGACCCAAGGCAGAACCCCTTCCCTTCTTAGGCGATAGGACTGCAGCCAAGAGACCACAATAAGCTGGCTTTACTCGCAAGTGCTGCCGGTCCTTGGCTCCTCTGAGTGGTGCCTGCCTCCCGGGAGGAGCAGCTAAGCTCCTCAGGCCAGCCCTGGACTTAGCCACCGGCTTCTTGGTAGAAATTTTCCATTTCTATAGATCACTCTCCTGCTCTTCCTCTGACATTCCCCACTGAGAGGCAAAGGGGAGGAGGAGAGAAGGGAGGGAGCCAGGCAGGGGGGAGAAGGGGAGAAACAAAAGGGGATGGGATTCTTAGATCTGCCTCAAAGAGATTCATTAATTCATTCCATCAATGTGTATTCAGTAACTACTATGGGCCAGAGATTGTCCTAGCTCAGTGGGAATGGTAGGACCCTCGAGGTTGCCCACCTTTGATTTTAATGTCCCACCCCACCTATTCTTATCTATGCTAGCACAGAGTCAGAACGGTGACATCTGAAATGTAGGACATCTAAGTCTTTACTCTTTTCCTTCTTACATGGTATTGTTTAATCTCTGAACAAGTTCATTAATACTTTCAGTGGAGGTTTTTTTCCTTCTCTGTCCTTAAAATAAATAAGCAGAGAAAGCACCAGAAATATTTCGTGGGATAGGTCATCATCTTGAGCACCCAGCAAGGTGAGATTTGTTGGTGCTTTGAGGGTTTAGGTTTGCTAGCATATGTTCTCTTGTGCTGTTTATACTCAATTATTTCTTTATTTTTAATTTTTTTTAAGTAAGCTCTACGCCCAACGTGCGCCCCTCACGGGGCTTGAACTCATGACCCGGAGATCCAGAGTTGCATGCTCTACCACTGAGCCAGCCAGGTGCCCCCATACTTGATTATTTCTAATAGTAATGGGAATGGTTGAGACAGATAAAGTCCTTCACTTTGAATTTAATGCGGAGCAAACCGTTGACCAGAATTTTTCGTTATAAACGTTTTAAGGGATATATTTCTAAACAAAGACATACATATAAGGTGAGAAGTGTGCCAGAGAAGGAAGCAAGAGTGAAGGGTCACATAAGCCCCATCCTGTGCCACCTGCCTTCACAGGAGGCAACTTGGCTCCATCAGTACCTCTATGTAAGCAGACCCTGGAGGAGCAAGCTCCCAACAGCTGTCTCTTAGGTTCTTGATCAAGAACTGAAGCATAACAGACTGGTATTTGTACCTCATAACCCTTCAGTGACGGCCCCACTAACACCACGGGACGCATGGATGGCACAACATCGTAAGGAGGAATGTGCTCCGTCTGAAAAAGATGATTTGACATGCATGACAAGGTGAGGCTAAGCACACCTCCTCAACAGCCACAGAATTCATAATTCTCAGGTCAAACGAGAAATGATTACCACAGGTCCCCACCAAGGAGGCTCATCCCTTATTTTGTAGCCATTTGGGTCACTGAAATGGAGCATTGCAGGCATGTATGGATAGAAACCTTAACAGTAGATTTAAAAAGGAAACACAACTTACCACTTTTTGCTTCTGTTTTGCTAAAAGACAACAATGAGAGCCATATCAAAATATGTAATCTCTGTAAATGATAGTACATGATTTTAAAAGATGGAAGAATGTACCAATTTGTCCCTATAATTCTCATCATCTCACAATTACCCACTCTGCAGAACACTACTCTATTATTTCATTCTGGACAAGACAATTTTGAAGAAAAATGACAGAAAAATGGAAAAAAAAAAAAAAACCCAGACAGTTTCCTCCTTGTACGAATGACCTTATATCCTGATTTCATGATGGGTGTGGAGGGTGCGCTTCATAACAACACCGGAAGTTCTGGGCCAGCCATGGGCCATAGGATGTTCCCTGCTGGACACAGCATACAGTATAGCTGAGAACAACGTGGACAAATAAAATTTCATAAAAAGGAACTAAGAATAACAATTTGGGTAAAAATGATCCTCACCTCAATCACTAGTTAGTTTTGGATTTGTAATTTTGATGAACCATGAGAAAATTCTGCAGTCCTTTATGTGTTCGTAAGTTTTCTGCCTACTTTCCAGGACATTGACACATTTTTCCTACTATGTTGTTGTTAATTTCAAATAAATTTATAACTGGTTATTCCTGTTCTTTGTTTGCAATAGTGCAAAGCTACAATGACCTAAATGTCCAATAAATGGGGATGAGGCAAAATATTTCGATATCTGATTAAACTGGTTTTGTGGTCATCCAAGTAGGTCCAGTCCATTTGGGGGCAACTCAGAGACCTAGTTCGGTTCAGAGACCAGGAGATCAGGAAGGATCCACACCAACAAGAACCCAGTACTCAGAACTACCCCAGAACCAATCACGTTTACTGCAGTTATGGTAGTCCAGGATAGACCTTGGACTTGTCCTTCTGAGTTGGTAATACAGGATGCCTTAATCAGCATCAATTCTGGGCCAGCACAAATTAGACTACAGGAGTCAGAGAATGTGGTAGAAGAAAAATTCCTGCTTGAATACCTCCATAATTACCAAATATATAATAACTCCTGATTGGACCACCACTATCCCTTCATTTCCATTATCTGCTCTCCAAATAGAAATGAGGTCATCCAGGCCCATTCTCTGTTTCAACCCTCCCAATCTCCACAGCCCAGGCTGCACCATCCTAAGTTCCCCATGGAGACTGGAACAGAGCATTTTCTTGAGAGTCTACAACTTTTTTTTCTTTTTAATTGGCCTTCACCATCTTAAAGTCTGTTGGTTTCTTGGGTGGAATAATGAACTTGCTTCAGATTGAAATGCACAATGGACAGTTATTGGCTCTGGGAAGTAAATAAGATTTTTCAAAATTAGATTATAATGCTCTGAGTTTTTAGTATTAATAAGTACCCTTTAAATAGAATCAAATTACTATAGAAAGCAAATGAGCAATGAAATATTAAGTAGAAGAATCTCTTAAATCAAGGCTTTAAATTGTTTCCAAATTAGTAAAAATACTTTCTGTATGTTCAAATAGTAAGAAAGAAAAACATTCCATTAAAAACAGTTAAACTAAAACCCTCACCTGTTGATGTGGGTGTTGCTCGAAATGTCCCTGATACCATTTCTCCAAGACTTGAAGAAGAGTTTCCACTGGATTTCCTAGGATATAGAAAAGGAACTTAGGACTCATTCCCCAGATTCCTTGCAAATAGAACTTGAGAGTACAAAGCTTTCTTTGGCCTAAATCCTACTGAATAATTCAAAACACATAAAATCCTGCTTTGGAGAAGAACTTCAAGATTCTGTCCAAATGTTTTCTTTGACCTATTATTTCTCAGAGAAGGTGGGGAACTAACTGGGACCTGGAAATACTTTGCAAAAGTATCTCTCCTAGTCATTCAATGCAGAAATTAGGCAGAAAAATCAAGGACAGAACCACTCTTGTGAACTGATGCTTAACTAATACCAGTCACCAGTTGGATGCATCAGTTGGATGTCAAACATAGCTCAAAACAAGCTGTAAGAGCTAGAAGAAGCATTTCTTTTTAAAAAGTGATTATATGATGGGGTGCCTGGGTGGCTCAGTTGGTTAAGTGTCTGCCTTCTGCTCAGATCATGATCCCAGGATCCTGGGATCGAGCCTCAAGCCGGGCTCCCTGCTCTGTGGGGAGCCTGCTTCTCCCTCTCCCTCTGCCTGCCACTCCCCTTGCTTGTGCTCACTCTTTATCTCTGTCAAATAAATAAAATCTTTTTAAAAAAAGTGATTATATGGGAGTCAAAATTAAGAGAAGAGGGTAATAATATAATAATATTATTTGTGACCTAGAATGGAAGATTTTTCCATTGGTCTCCTCACGTGGCTTTGGAAGCTTCCCAGGAGCCCACAGAGGCCCTTGGGAACCCACCTTCCTATTTCTCCAGTGTTCTTCCCTCTCAGTGCTTGAGAGTATCGTCCCTAGGTCAGAACAATCCCAATTCTCATCCTGGCTTTGCCATTTACTAGTTACAGGATCTTGGCATATTATATTTCATGTCTTTGAGCCTCATTTTCCCTATCTATAGAAGAGGTTACACCTCATAGGGTTGGTATAAAGAAAGTGAGCTCTTGGTTTTACTCTTTTAGTTCAAAAGTACATAATAACATTATTGTTTTTAAAGATTTTATTCATTTATTTTAGAGAGAGAGAGAGTGGGAGCAGGGGTAGGAGCAGAGGGAGAGGGGGGATCTCAAGCAGGCTCCAACAAGAGGTCGATCTCACAATCTCAAGATCATCACCTGAGCTGAAATCAAGAGTCGGACACTTAACTGACTGAGCCACCCAGGGTCCCCAGTACATAATAACATTATGAAATAATAATAATAAAATAACAACTTTGGAAATGATAATAATACATTTATTATTTCATTCAACAAATATTTATTGAGTATCCACTGTTCTAGAAACTAGGAATACAACAGTAGGGGGAAAAGACAAAATCCCTTCCTCACAGAGACAGATTTTAGCAGGAGATATCACTATCAAACAGATGAACAGGTAAATACATAGTATTTCTGACAGTAATAAGTGCAACGGAGGAAACTAAGTCAGGAGAGGGACAGGAAATAAAGGAAGGGAAGTGGGTACAATTTTAAAGATGGTGGCCGGAAAGGGGTCAGTGGAAAGGTGATATTTAACAAAGATCTGAAGCAGATGAAGGAGTGAGCTGGTGGAAATATGAAGAAAAGGGCTCCAGTAAGAAGAAGTGCAAAGGTCCTGAGGTAGGAACATATGTTCCTGATTTGTTTAAGGAGCAGCAAGGGATAAACAGTCAAGAGGAGGAAATAAGAAGAATTAATAATCAATAATATTATAGGCATGTTAGATACTAAAAAAGATTTATAATTAAAAGTTGGGCGGGGCACCTGAGTGGATCAGTCGGTTCAGCGTCTCTTGATCTCAGCTCAGGTCTTGATCTCAGGGTCATGAGTTCAAGCCCCGCTTTGGGCTCCATGATGGGCATGGAGCCTACTTAAAAAAAATTAAAAATTAAAATTAAAAAAAGTGGGGCTAACTATACTTTTGGGATATCTTATCACTGTTTAAGAAGTTCCCATTGAGACAAAGGCAAAAGGACCCCTAAAGAACAGAGGAGCTTCTGAAGCAGAAAAGGATCCAACAGAAAAAGTTGACAATCAAGAGAAAGAACTGCTTCTATTTTAGGTCTTTCAAAAAATGATAATATATATCAAATTCATGCTTCAGTGTAGGTTCACAATATACACAGGCTCAGTATGATTCTGATTTCTCTTTTCTCAGGCTTTGCGTGTATCCCTGGGACCTACGAATACCTGCACTCTGAGATTTCTGTGGCTGTTTCATTAGTTCACTAGAGGTTGATTCATCCCAAGTTAGACAGTGTCTCCATCCCATTACCAAGAGATGGCAGATGTCCTGGGTGGAGAAAGGTGTTTCTAGAGCCGGACGGTGGCACATGTACCGTTGCATTCCACGCCCACTTGAAAGGGGGTCTCTGAGAGTTAACCAGGAAGGGCCCTGATGGCGGGTCAGGCCAGGTTCCCACCTGTACTGAGAAAGAAGGCCTCATATGACTCGTGGAGGAGAGCTTAATTTCCAAGGAAGGTTTGCTGAGGCCACAGAAAAGTCTCCACTGTGGAATTCGTGTTGATGTCCGTGATGTGAGGCTCAAGCATGCAGTGGGGAGAGTGAACTCTCTGAAACCCCTCTGTGTCAATTTCAGAAACGCCTCATACACAGACAAGTACATTTTACTTCAAAAGCATACATTTTTAACCTAATAAGCAAACTGGAAAACATCATCTTATTTTTCTACCCATCTCCCCAAATAAGTTTATAGAAACAAAGGAGCCTTACCCTCCGTGAAAACGTCCCCTTTTTTGTTCTTGCTGAATCCGTATGTTCTCCAGTCTAAGCGGACTTGGGATGAAGCCAATCTCACAGCCCTCTTTCACCAGCCTTCCTATCCACCAATCATTGTTATATTTCTGGAATGCAGATATAAAACTGCTATCAGTAGTAATTCACTTATCTTCACATCCCATTAATTAATTTCTGAGGACCAGAAGAACCAAATACTGTTTATATTATACTCTATTGCATATAAACCCTATTTATATTATATCATACTATGTTATATATATCTAAGCGTCCACAGACTAAAGCCAAAGTCTGCAAATTTTTTACCTAAAGGCCCAGATAGTAAATATTTTAGGTTTTGCAGGGCTCGTGGTCTCCGTCGCAACTTCTTACATCTGCTATTGTCACATGCACGTGGCCATAGACAATACATAAAAAAGTGAGCATGGCTCTGTTTCAGTTAGCCTTTTCTTTCTAAAAAAAGACTGCAGACTGGAATCAGCCTGCACACCACAGTTTGCCAATTCCTGGACTAAAGTTGGGTCCTAACCTTTGGATTCCTTTGGTCCTTGTCAAGAAGCCCTAACCAATTCTTAAGAAATAGATTTTAGAGAGAAAACTATGCATCAATGTAACTGGAACCCTGGAGAACAAGACAGACAAATCTGAGATGAAATACATTCAACTGTCAGTTATTTGTCAAAAGCTTTCTGGTAAAGATTCCATGATATTGTCTGTAATCTACTCTCACTGGAGAATTGTAATCTTCCAAACATAGGTTTACAAATTCAGATCCATCTCATTACCTGATGAAAAAGAAGCCTACTCTTACAAAGGTTAAGCATATTGTATATATGTGGAATTTTTGAAATAATCTCCAAATGGCCTGAAGTCCAATAGGAACACCAGGATTTCCATTTACATAAAGTTCCATGACATGTAAAATCAGAAAATAAATCCACGCAAAGGCTTCAGCCAGTATGGGGTAAGACTCTGTGAACATGATCCTATTCAGTGGGTGAGCAAAATACATTTGTAATTACAGATTTGCTGAAGCCTAATCAGAAGGCATATTTAATCCAAGCCACCTTTCTCAAGGGAAGGTTCAGGTAGGTGATTTTTAGAAAGCAGGTATCAGTCCTATTGTTTACATCCTCCAGAGATGATGCCAAAAACTTTGTCTTCATCAGTGTTAGGCAAGGTAACTCTCTCTCATTGATCCAAGAAGTATCTGGATTTTTTTTCCGAAATGAAGAACTATATGTAGTATACTTTGCCTAGCTCAGAGAAAAGTGAAATTTATATGTATACGACACTGACACATTGTGAAGGAGAAATGGTCTCATTAACTCACTGCAGCATGAAATTCTGCATAGCTGTGAGTAATTCTCAGCATCAGCCTCACACTCAAAAGCAAAACGATATGGCTTAGGGATTTGGCCTTTATTATGCACACAGCTCCTGCACGAGGCATGCATGGCACATAGTATGAGACTGCACTTCAGGAATGTGGGTTGAGGGGGACACATGGGTGGCTCAGCCCATTAAGCATCTGCCTTTGGCTCAGGTCATGATCCCAGGGTCCTGGGATTGAGTCCTGCATCGGGCTCCCTGCTCGGCAGGGAGCCTGCCTCTCCCTCTCCCTCCGCCTGCCGCTCCCCCTGCTTCCCCTGCTTGTGCTCGCTCTCTCTGACAAATAAATAAATAAAATCTTAAAAAAAAAAAAGAAATGTGAGTTGACCTAATATAAAATCTTGAACAATCGAAGTCTTGATTTTTCCCATCTTCCCATCCTGTATTTCAGGATAACAGGCCTGAAATAACAGGCCTGTTTATTTTGGAATCAATAAAAGGCAAGGAGGCCGTTTTAGAATCTTTGGTGCACAGGTCTGGAATGTAAATCTTCTTGTGGTGGGAACAAAGCAGACTATGAGTCAGAGTGTCCTAGGGTTTAAGTTACTTCCTGAACCGTAAGTTAGCCCGCTGGAACACTAATTTATTAAACGGTACCCAAGCGACCTTAAAGGGCTTCCAGAAATGGTTCATGGCAACTTCCCAATCTTTTGGCTTCGTTGTAGGAAGCAGCTAAAGCTCAGTGAGAATCTGGCTCAATGGAAATGACAGTTCTCTGACTACCCAGTAGGAAGTTGCCACATAGATTCAAGAGCTTCACACGCTCATCATTTGGTGAATGTGATAAGCAGACCTGCAGCTTTTCTCCGAGTTTAAGCTTCTCATTACTGAAAAAGTGCTTAAAGCTGTGCATAAGAGATGGCCGTCTAGATGAGAGAGGAGAGGAGAGGCGACAACTTGATTACAGAAATGTGTTCATCTGCGCGGATGCTCCAGAAATGCATGCGAGGGGTTCTGGGAAGGTCACCTTAGTGTTGTTCCAATCCTTCTCATTCTCATTTCCCGAACATGATTAGCACTTTCTCTAAGATGTTTTCTTATCGGATATTTCAAGATCTGAAAACAAGTGGCTCTAATCCACGTAGAATTACCAGCTCAATACCATACATCAAACTGCCCATCTGACAAGAAAGTCACTGATCGAGGAACATATAAATCAAAAAAGCAACCAACAGGACAAACTGAGAATACCGATGGAATGGAGGAAAGCATTAACATACAGCAAGGTTGGAATGTGGGTGTGAGTGGGTGTGCATAAAATCTGTGAGAACTTCTCTTACCTTTTAGAGTTCTGCTTCTCCTTGGAAACAATGGGTATTAGCAACTAATGAATAAGGTTTGGTCATTTTTGATGGAAATGGTGAGACAATCCACTTAACCACTCGGATGCTGGGGCACATGGTTCAGGCTTGGGGTCCTTGCTTACCAGGCAAATGTGGATATCCTCACCTCATACACCTTGAGGACATGGAAATCAAGTCTTTGCTACCCCAGCTTCCTGTTAGCAAGGCTCTGAACCATGTGTGTCTGCACCCATCCTCTCCCAGCATGTTACAATGAGTAAGTGGTCCCCTTCCTATCAAAAATCTTACCCCCCACCAACTTGGGGGTCTGGATCCCAACCTTCTTGCCTACTCAAAAACTGTACTCCTCTGCCTATCTTTCCTTTCCCATCAACCTCTCCCTCTCTCTGTTAATATCAGCACATGCAGGTGCTCCAGGAGCTCCCATCTCGAAAGAAAACTTTTGACTTCACATCCTCCTCAGTATACTACCTGGTCAGTGTCAACTTCCTTGAAAGTATGCTCTACGCTAGCTAAACATACTTCCTAACTCCCCTTCTCTCCTCATCCCCCTTCATTTGGCTTCCAGACAATCGTCCCAATGACTTCCGTGCTGCTGACCACCATGTTGCCAACCCAACGTCCATTCCTCACTCCTCATCTTAGGGTACATGTCATAGCATTCACCACAGCATTCACTTCCTCCTTTGGGACACACTCCTCTCTTGATGCCCATGCCTCACCCTGTCCTGGTTTTCCTCCTGTATGTCAGGCTTCTCCAGTTCCATTTCCTCATTTGTTGAGTCATTTCACGTAGCCCACCTCTGCAGGATGGAATTCCTTTGGGTTTGATGTCGGGCTGCCTTCTCTTCTCCTTTTACTCCCTCTTTAGGTGACTTCGATCATTAACACAGCTTTAAATGCCACACATAAACTAATGACCTAAAACGACATCTTTGGTCCAACCCTTCCTCGAAGTTCCAGATTCTTATATCTAACTTCTACTTGATATGTCCTTGAGATGTCCCCTCCCCATCTGTCCTTTCCCCACCTTAGTCTTCTCCATCCCCATTGCTCAATTCACAAACCTTGATTTCCTTGATCATGCGTGATTTCTCCCTCACTCTTAGTTTCTTCACCTGGTCCATCACCACCACTCTTCACTGAATGTCTGCAAAAGATCTCAAATCTGCTTACTTCTTTCCATCTCACTGCTGCCATGCTGGCTCAGTTCTGTTAGAATGGTTCTAATGGTCTCCCTGATTCCATACTTATCCCACCCCAATCCATGGTCTCCACAACAATCAGAGTAGCCTTTAAAAAAATAATAAATTCATCCCACTCCTTTGCTTTTAAAGTCTTCAATGGCTTCTTATTGCACTCAGAATAAAATCTAAAGTCTCATCATCACTTTAAGGTCCTCTTTGACCTGTGCCCTGCTTACTCCTATGACTATCTCCTGCTACTAGGTCTCTGGCTCACTGCATTACAGCCATATGGCTTTCTTCTAGTTAACTGATTGTGCCAGGCTTTTCTCCTACCGCAGGGCCTTTGCACATGGTGTTTCCTCTCCCTAGAAGACCTCCTCTTGCTCTTTTTAAGGTTGGCTCCTCTTCATCTTTCAAGTGTCTACTTAGGGGTCACATTGTCCAAAAGGCCTTGTCTGATCACCCCTGTATTTAAAAGTATATATAACACCCTCATCCCTATGTTTTAAATTTTTTAGCATCTGCTTCATTTTTTCCCCCCAAAGCATTCACAATTTGGAATTATTTATTTGTTCATGATCTGTCTCCCCACTAGAATTTCAGCCCACGAGGGGAGGGAACCTGTCTTTATTGATAGCTATCAGACAACATCTGCCAGGGCCTGGCACATACTTGAACACAAATGTTCAAGAACTGTATCTTGAATGAATACCTGAACAAAGGAACAAATGTAGATAGAGCCTCACCCAGCTCACATGGGCACAAGGCAAAGACAGACATCTGTGGACATCCAGATGTTTGACCTACTTGCTATCAAGTGGTTGAAGTGTTAAAACTATGTATATGTCTTGGTGTCACCAATGCCATTGTAGAATGCAGAGCTTCAAAGACAACGATTTGCAAAATTGTTACATATTTACCACGTGCATCTCATTTTAGACTGGGGGTATGTGCAGGTATTTCAGCAATGTGGAGTGATTTTTTTTTTTTTTAAGATTTTATTTGTCAGAGAAAGAGAGCACAAGCAGGGGAAGCAGGGGGAGCGGCAGGCCGAGGGAGAGGGAGAAGCAGGCTCCCCGCCGAGTGGGGAGCCTGATGAGGGGCCTGATCCCAGGACCCTGGAGCATGACCTGAGCCGAAGGCAGACGCTTAACGACTGAGCCACCAAGGCGCCCCTGAGTGATGGGTTTTTATTGGCCACACTGCCTCCGGTTTCACTTTACTGTCCCACTCTCTTTTTTAGAGGGGCATGAGGGCTTGCCTACTTTGCCAGTGTATGCCACCAGCCCTGTCGGGAAGTTCCTTGCAGAACAAGGCAGGCAAGACTGCTCCTGACTCGGCCTAATCCTTGTGTCCGTCTTCCAGATGCCGTCCCTCCCCTCTACTCCAGCCCTTCACTCAATCTGCGATCCTTCCAATATATTTCACTGGGTTCAACAGCTCAGCATGGACAACATGCTGCAATCTTTCCTATCTTCAAAACATAAAAAAGCAAAGAAACATTTAAAAACACTCCCTCGATTCTATACTACCTTTTTCTGGCTACAATGCATTCTCCTTTTCAACTCAATGCTTTTAGGAAGAGCAAATTGCAATTCCTCTCCTCTGGCCTCCAGGTTATGTGGGTAAAGGCCTGTTAAGTGTCTTGACGGGGCTTTCACAGCACCCCAGACACAGTGTACCTAAAAGCCAATTCACAACCACATCCATCTTGCAGCAAGGCTTCTCCCCTCCCTGCCCTCTTCATCCTCCCACCCGCTCATCCCCAGAGTGCCCCCCTGCCTTCTTTATTTTAAAAGCTGACACCACCCTCTACCCTTTCTAGTGAGCTGTAAACCTGGTCTTTCTCTATCCTTCCTTTCTCTCTATGTCACTTTCTCCACTAGCGCCGCCCATGTGAAATCTCCCAGTCCTGTCTGTCTGCCTCTTCACTCTCCCTCCAAGCTGATCCCTCTCTCCAGCCCCTCTGCTGCAATCTCGGTCCAGCCTCTGCAACACTCCCTCGATCATCAGAGTTAGTATGCTAAGACACAAGGCTGGTGGCACCTGTCTAGTATTTAAAATTCCTCTCCAGCTCACTGCCTGGTGACAAAGTCCAGGCTTCTTGTCAGGGCCAAAGAGGTCCTCTCTTATCAGGCCCCTGCCTCTGTGACCCGGCCCATCCCCTGGACCACTCCCTACCTCCCACCCTCCAGCCAGGCTGCACTGCTCCTGGCTGTTCCTTCCACTTGATCCACCCCCACACCCAGCCCCCTGAACTCCCTCAGGCTTCACCATTTCTGTAGAGCTCCCAGCCCCCTGAACCTCCTTTCCCCAGCCACGTGGTCCCTCCTGCTCTTTCTTCAGGTTCCCACAACAACTATTCAATTTTTCTACAATAGAACTTGTCATCCAGGGCAGAAACTAGGCACCTGCCAGTGTTTCCCCCCAGACTCAGAGGTCCCGGGCAGCGGGGACAGTGTGCCTTCATCTCTTTCTCTCGATGCCCAGCACAATGTCTGAGATGAAGTAGGATTTCAATTTAGGTTGACTAAATGGAAGTTTTTGATGTCATCATTCCACCTTTCAAGTTGCAAGGCCTCAGGTCCTCCCTGTACCTCTCGATCCCTTAAGTTCTGTTTCCCAAAGTCCTCTGCCCTCTTCTTAGCTTTAACACTTGAATTATTAATTATACTCTCTAGTGTTGGTTGCAAGGTCAAGGTCCACAGGATTACAGCAGAGATATTTATAACTACAATATCGCTTGTAAATGGTCCCTCACGGGTAGGTGCCATGCCACCAAACTCATGTTTCCCTAAGTTGGATCCGCAGACCTGTGGCTCTGCAGTCGTACAAGGTGATTAAAAGGTGACCAGGGGACCACAGGTCTGTCCTAAATCCACCCTATGATGACGGTGATCCAATGTTTTAAATGTGTGATCATGCAAGCAATGATCTCAGTCTTCTAAATCTCAGTGAGAATCAATGGATTTGGAAAGCCCAGAAAATTAAATGAGGTAACACACTGACAGCTCCTCAGGGCTCCTCTTGGTTCAGTTTGGTTCAGAGCCAATCCCGGCTCTCGCCTTATGGCAGATTAAGGGATGCAGAGAGTCCTACATTTACCTCTTTAATGTGGAGAAAGTCCTTGGCATCAAAGGAAATGGCCGTGCTCGGAACAGGCACATCCTCATCCAAGGCACCACAGTAGCTCACGTTCGTCTTCACAGCAAATGCTACAGGCTTGGACTGGGGGCAGAACCATGGCATAAGGATGGAGGAAGAAGACAGAGTGGGATTTTTCATATTGAAAAGTATAATAAGATAATTGATAGTACCAGGCAGGAAGGGGAGACCACTTTCCAAAGAGGTGTCTCAAATGGGTTTCACAGTCCCTAGCAGCATAGAGAAATCTGCATTGATGACTCTAAAAATGATTCAACCCAATCAGCCTAATCATTTTCCCCCTCCTGTGCTACTTTCCAACATCCCAAACAAAGAATCCTACCCTACGGTGCTGGGGAGGGATGCAAAGACAAGAGGGAGCTATCTGCTTTGCCCTCTGCTCCTAAAACTTATGTTTGCTATTTTAAATGATGATAGGTGCCCTTGGGATACAGGAAATGTGTGCTAGGTCTTAAATTAAAAGGTGGTGGTGGGAGTAAAATAAATATTTTTTGAAATAGCCTCAGATCTGTAAACCTGTGGAATCTCACTCAGTAGAATGAATACCTTGTCCTGCCAGGAAAAAGAAAGGCCAGTTAAGGGTAGACCAGAAGGACGAGCACCATCTTCTCCCTAAGTAACAAAAGCTGGTTCTGAAACTCTTTTTAGGCAAATTCCTCCTCAGCAAAGTGCTCTTGGGCGGGTGCAGCCTCGCAGAAGCTAAGCAAACCATCAGCCTAAGCTAACGGTGCTGCTGGCTGCCATTTGGGTGACCACAAAGGCCACAAAACACTCTAAAAGAAAACTAAAACAAAAATTAGCCACAAGTGAGAACACAAGGTTCCTGCAATCCTGGGCTGCTCTGTTAGTGGCTCATTTATTCGTGCTGAGAACATGACCAGGGAGCAAGAGTTGAGGCAAGACCCCAGTTAGAGTCTTACCCATGTCCCTTCACAGGCACTGCCCCACACCCCCTTCAGCCAACCAGACACAGATAACACGTGTCACAGCAAAGGAAGACGCCTCATTATCGACATCGTTCCCCTCTTACTGCTCTTATAAAGAGTTTACTGTAAAAACAGAAAAAGGAAGGAATTCATATTATTTGAGCTTCAGTTTTTCGTCTAAAAGTTAAAAAGACTGGATCAATATGCCTTAGGAGTCGTCATGGAGGGTAAAGAAGAGAGGCTGGCCACAATCCCCGTCTTATATTTTGCATAAAACTTCATTTGATAGAAGGAGTCTATGCTAAAACAAACAAACTAACTAAAAACAGTTTGAAAGGCATAGAATAGGAGATCTCTAGTGACTCTTCTAGTTCTAAGATTCAAAAATGCAGTTTGCTCCCTATTGCCTGCTCTGTAGGTACAGAGATCCCCAGGTGGGGGCTCTCCCTCTGTGGAATATCTAAAGTTCTGTTTTGGCAACACCTCTGATTGCTCAAATTTGCCGAAATGCTAATAGTTGTTCACAGCTCCAAACCGCATGCTGAACTTGAGGTAGGAGACTGAAACCAAGAGGGGAGCAGTAGAGAGACCCACGAAACAACAGTGCACGAGTACCCCGAAATGAAGGCTGATGGCACAGAGAATGAGGGGTAAGGAATGGGCAGGACAACCCGCACCTTAGAAGGCTCTCTGCCAAAACTGGCAGTGGCAAGCTTAATATTAGCCACAACTGTGAAGCAGGAAGGTGCCCACTAATTCACCACCAAAGCTAACACAAAGGGTGAGGGGTCAGGGTCTCAGGAAATGGCCCCCCTGGGAATGGTACGAACCTCTCTTGGGGGGTGAATGGGTCAGGGAGCCTTACAATCTGGTACCTTATCAGGATGATCATTAAATGACTGTTCCAGAGGAATCTGAGGCAGGGGATGGGCAGCTGATACCTGTTGAGCAACATGCCACCATGGAATCAAAGAGGGGCAAGAAAATCACCTTTGCTCTCTCAAGCTGGATAGCGGCTTGTTGTTCTCTCTCCTGCCGAATTGCTTCCCGATCCTCTTCCAAGGAGACATCGGAGTCAGATGGCCTGCTCGTGTAGGAATCCGCTGAGCCCTGGAAAGGACAACCCAGAGGGGTTTAAATGAGGTGATGTGGAGCTTCTTCAACTGTCACATCCATAAAGCATCCTGGAGCGAGTTGTCTTCATTTGTGTAGGGTTTAGTGCACGCACTCTGCGCCCATGTTGCAGATGTAGGTTCAGACGGCAGGATATAGTTAATTATCTTAGTAATTCAGAAGGAAGCAATGTTGTGAAGGAAAATATTTTGACTAGATCAAGTGCTAGGAAGTGAACTACAATGAAAATTATGTGATATTCAGCTCCAATTCTTCCTGTTTCATGCTATCTTTTATATTAAGCCCATATTCATTTGTGGACCTGAAATTTCATTCCATTCTCCCTTTTATATATACATCTAAAGGAAAAAGAGCCTCAGCGTATGATAAGAGCTAAACTCTACCCATATCTTGGGCTACAGAAGACCGATTTATCTAAGATTTCCATACAGCAAAGCAGAATCCTGCATTAGTAAATGAGTTTCCAGTTCTAGTATCCACACCATTGAACTCTTTCACTATTAAAGCTTCAGTCATTGGGACGCCTGGGTGGCTCAGTCAGTTAAGTGTCCAACTCTTGATTTTGGCTCACGTCATTGATCTCAGGGTTGTGAGATCGAGCCCCACGTCGGGCTCCATGTTGGGTGTGGAGCCTGCTTAATAATCTCTGTCTCCCTCTTCCTCTGCCCCTCCACCCCTCTCAAAACAAAACAAAACTTCAGTCATTGTCCTACAATAGCCATACCTGGTCACTATGGCTACCAAGCCATGAACCTTAAAGATGAAAACAAGGATGTCCTCAACGGAAGCACACATCTAGGAAGGCTATTTGAACAACACTGAAATCCAGCCTGACAGATGTGGCCAAGGTACTGGGGGCGCCCAGCATCACTTGGTATTCATGGTGTAAGAAGAGATGAAAACTACAGCAGCTAGTTAAAAAGTTAAAAAAAATTCCTTTTAAGTTTGCCTTCTGGTTGCTAAAGGAACGTCACCCTTATGATATCCTCAAGCTGGCATTACAAGTTGATATTTGCATAGATGACGACATTTACACAGCAGCGTTATTGATAGAACTGATGTATTTGGCATGTTTCATAAGTCATGCACAGATTTTGAAAAGCATAGACCTATCCATATAGCTGAGAATCTGCTATCCACTGCAGAAAAGAACTCTAAGAATGGTTGACTGCTGAAATGGATCCTTTGAAAGTTTTCCTAAACTTAGAAATGTTAGGGTTAGCACAGATTTCCCTGGTGGCCTAGGACAGTAACTCCTGGTGAGAGGTTTTATCAGAATACGCAAAAGAACCCTGGTTCTTAATTCTGCTTCTGCAACTTACTTTAGAAAACTGTATGCAAGTTACTTCGGCCACTCCAGACTCAGTCTCTTCATGTGCACAACGGGGACACCACTTACTTCAAAGAATAACGAACAGCTAATTGACTTAGCCTTCACTATCATACCAGCACAAGAACTAGCTGCTTTGCACACCTCATCTCTCTGAATCTTTGTAACAGCGTAGAAGCTTCGATTCAAACTTGGGCAGTTGAACTTTAGAACCAGCAGTTTGAAACCCTACACTGAGCTGCACTTGATATTAAAATATTTACTCCAGGATCTGGCACATGGCAGGTACATAATAAATAGCCATTCTCATCCCTGTTTCCTAGTCCGGAGAGCTCTACATTGATTTTAAAAAAAATTAACAGACTCTAATCATTTTTTCAACTCACTTATATATGCACAATAGCCCATCTCAAAAAGTATTCATTTTTCTTATTATATTTGTTGCCAAGTAAACACTATGTTTTTTCCCCAGCTTTACTGAGATATAATTGACATATAACAACATGTAAGTTTGGGGTGTAAAATTTGTTGATTTGATGCACTTATATATTGCAAAATGATTACACTATAAGTGTGATAACTACAATGTGCCCAAATCCATGCACTTAATGTAGCACTTTTGAAAGTGCCCTTTATAGAAGAAATGGATTTCTTAAACAAAAATTATAACCAAATTCCTCTGTGCAAAAGTACTGGGGGAAAATCTGGACCTACAAAATGGATCAATGCAAGGTGACTGACTATTCTATAGATCCCTCATTGCTGAAAAAAAAAGCTACCTTGAAGTCCTTTTAATGAGTTCTCTTAGAACACAGCTTTTGTCCAAAGTTAGGTATAACTGTAAAAAATCCAGAGTAAGGGAGAAAGGAAACAATGTTTCTAAAATATATACGAGAACAGTTTTGAGTTAGCGCGAGGTGATGCTTTGCGGCAGTATGATGTATGCTGTAGATCATTTTAAGACACTGGACTGGCTGTGTGCCGAGGTCTGGACCGGCACATGATTATGCTGCGTGAAGTCAGCAAGGAGGCACTTGCCATGTTTTGCAAACATGTGCTGGGGAGGCTGGTGACTGTGGTTCAGGAGCAGGCAGGCTGTCTGCTGCAGCGGTGAGGCAAACGACTAAAATAGGCAGTCTACTGTTGACACGAGGAGACAGCTCATTCCCGAAACTACCTTAACGACTTTTCATCCTGGCATTCCATCATCTCTGAGCACACAAGAAGTAACTCAAAGGATTCCTGCAAATGAACTTGATTTTGAAATGTGAACAAGACGTTGGAAATTTCAGAATTACTTATTAAGTTCTACTATTGCCAAGTACACATAAAAGCAGAAGCTTCTGTTTACTTCCCTGTTTCTGAGACTATGGGTATCGGGAAAGATAAAGCACTAGGATATTCGTTTTCATAATCCCAGGGTTACATCATTTCGACATTTACTCTGGTTTTTCTTCTTTCTTTTTTTCAATGCCATCTACATTGCTTTGAATAGGAAAATCACTGCTGCTGTCTTTCAGGGTCTGGGGAAAACCAAAGTCCACCATCAAGAGCCCAAATTTGGCTCATGGACGTGTTCTGCTGACTTGGCAAAGAAATGGTTTCTTGTTTTTATTTATTTGTTTTGTTTTGTTTCAACTGGGTGAAAGAGAGTATAGACATAGCCCAGGAGAAAGAAGGAAAAGAAAACAAAAAGGAGTTGAGTGGTGTACAAAGGTTCAGAGAGAAGAACAACGAAGCCAAAGAGCAGCAAGAGGAGACTGCCTGGGCCAGAAGAAGGATCTGGAAGGGAAGGGGCTACCGCAGGCTTGGTAAAACTGAGGGCTGGAGGGAGCGGGCTGCCAGAGAGCTGGTTACACATTTATGACCAGGCACAGGGAACTGGCAAGAAGAGAACAAGGCGGGCTGCCAAGAGGATATAAGTGAACATGTAAAGGTTACCAGCTCTGGCAAAGGCTGGAACATGCAGCCCCACCAGCTTTCCATCTTCCGGAATTCTATGTCATAAAATGGGCAAACAGCAAGCTAGCCAGCTTATTGGCTGAGCCAAACCTGTGCAAGAGGCATGACAGAGGCTAGCCTCAAAAGTTCCTAAGCAAACACCATAGCAAGTCCCATCTTGGTCTCCAATGAACCAACTAAACCAGGAGAGAAATGGAAGCAACTGCCATAAGTCTCTTCATAAATATAATATATGTATATAGACAGATGTATATGTATATACTTGGATGTCATTTTTTTTAAAGATTTCATTTATTAATTTGAGAGAGTGTGTGTGTGTGAGAGAGAGAGAGCATGAGAGCAGGTTAAGGGGCAGAGAGAGAAGCAGACTCCCCCCTGAGCAGGGAGCCCAATGTGGGGCTCGATCACAGGACTCTGGAATTATGACCTGAGCCCAAGGCAGACGCTTAATCGACCCAGGCATCCCTCAGGGATGTCATTTAAAAGCCAAAACATAATGGATTCTAGTGAACATCAAAAGAAAGAGAGGCACCTGGATGGCTCAGTCGGTTAGGTGGCCGACTCTTGGTTTCAGCTCAGGTCATGATCTGGGGGTTCTGAAATGGAGCCCTGCGTTGGGCTCTGCGCTCAACAGGGAGTCTGCTTGAGGATTCTCTCCCCACCCCTGTTGCCCCTCTCCTCCCACTCACGCTCTGTCTAAAATAAATAAATAAATCTTAAAAAAAAAGAAACGCAAATCTTTCCATTAACATAAGGCTCAGACCTGTTTTCCGCCCTTTTTTCAATATTGAAAACAGACTCATGCCTTTCATGAATCTTGAGTACAAAATACAAAACACTGATGGAAACACTGGAAAATCAGTTTGCTGTTGTCCTGGAAGAAGGAAAGTGATCCCGAGTCGAACAATGGAAGGGCTTCTTCTCATTCCCAGAGGCGGGGCACGACGTAGGGGAGAGAGCAGTCATGGGCTGGGGGGCCAGCCAGTGCTGCGTTGAACACTCTAGCCAGTTTTTCCTGGCTGGGGATCTTGGGCAACTTATTTTAACTTTCTAAGTCTCCATTTCATCCCCTGAGAGATGAGGATAATAATGTACACCTTGTAGAGTTTCCCAGTGTTTGGTTTGAAATGAAACCTCACCTTTTACCACCATTAGGGAAATTCAGGGAATGCCAGCAACTAATCTTTGACTCACTAAAATTCTGGCAGCTTCTCAGCATTAAATTTTTGGCTGCCCCAGGGTTTTAGGATTTACATCTTGTTATTTAAAAAAAAAAACAAAAAAACAGCATTACTGAGGCATAATTTATATATCATTAAATTCACACATTTTAAATGTACAATTCAATGATTTTTAGTAAACTTACAGAACACAATTTAAACCACAATCTAATATTAGAGTATTTCTACCACCTCCAAAGAGACCTGTGTCATCCCCAGTCCCTCTCTAATCCCATTGCAAGACCTGCGCATCCACTTACTGACCCTGTCCTTTTAAAATTGGAATATACTTTCTCTTTTTATAAGAAATTTTAGTTATGTGTATTTTATTATTTTACTCTATTATTTGTATTTTATTGTTGTATTTTATGACTATTTTAATATTACGTCATGAAAGTAGAGTAAGGAGAAGGGAGAGTTCACAAATGTTTATTTTATTTTATTTTTTTA